AACAGTCCTTCCATACACCGAATATACTAGACCTATTGCTTATAGTATCTGAGATATGGACTTGACCACCAAAACTTAAACTTGTTCACTGATCCATGAAATGAGGTCGAGGTCAAGTGAAAACTGTCTGACGGGCATGAGGACCTTGCAAGGTACGCACATACCAAATATAGTTATCCTATTACTTATAATAAGAGAGAATTTAACATTACAAAAAATCTCAACTTTTTTTTCAAGTAGTCACTGAACCATGAAAATGAGGTCAAGGACATTGGACATGTGACTGACGGAAATTTCGTAACATGAGGCATCCATATACAAAGTATGAAGCATCCACTCCTTCCACCTTCTAAAATATAAAGCTTTTAAGAAGTTAGCTAACGCCGCCGCCGGATCACTATCCCTATGTCGAGCTTTCTGGGTTAAAAGTCACAGGCTCGACAAAAAGGAGTTCTTAATTAAGAAATAAACTGATTCGCTGAGCGCAGCTGGATACACCTGCAGAGGTCCAACCCTGAACAGTTGGGGCAAAAATGGACACAATATTCAAGCTTGATACAAGTCTGAATTTGGTTGTAATTAAATATTTCACATGTTATAGTTTCTGAATAAATGTAGTCAAAGAACTTGAAATTGGTTATATGAATTGAATTTATATTCAATTAAAGATTTCTTGCTGTTGTGCAATACACTGTGCTGTTGCGCAATACTTAATAAATCTGTTGCCAGACTATAAACAAATAAAGTTCAATTTCTTCTCAATGTCATATTTGAAATTTAGGAAAATCAATAGGGAGATTACATCAATAGCTATAAATAATTCACCAAAGTTTCATGCGAACTGCTTAAAGCATTTTTGAGTTGTTGTCCAAAAACTGGAAAATCCCCCCTTTTTTAATGAATAAAACCCCATAACTCAGAAATGTAAAATCTAAAATTTATAAAATTCTAAAGGGAGCTTACGGATTGATAATTTAGTCTTAGATGCAAGATTTTTTTATCAGTTGATAGTGGCTTTGAACTAGCTGTCAGTAAATGCGAGTACTCTCAGATCTGTACTTAGTGTCTTTTTGTTGTTTGGATGTACAACTACCCGGCCACGTCCACTTGTATTTATCCATCTGATGAGTTAAGCCTCTTTCAACTGATTTTTTATCGTTCGTTCTTATATTGTACTGTTACACCACTGTCCCAGGTTAGGGGGTGGGTTGGGATCCCGCTAACATGTTTAACCCCGCCACATTCTGTATGTACACGTATGTGCCTGTCCCAAGTCAGGAGCCTGTAATTCAGTGGTTGTCGTTTGTTGATGTGTTGCATATTTGTTATTCGTTCATTTTTTGTACATAAATTAGGCCGTTAGTTTTCTTGTTTGAATTGTTTTACATAGTCATTTCGGGGCCTTTTATAGCTCACTGTGCGGTATGTGCTTTGCACATTGTTGAAGGCCGTACTGTGACCTATAGCTGTTAATTTCTGTGTCATTTGGTCTCTTGTGGAGAGTTGTCTCATTGGCAATCATACCACATCTTCTTTTTTATATTTACATCAACAGATATAAACAATTCACCAAAGTCAAACTTAGTTGCAAGATCTCTGAAATTTTTTACACGGTACAAGTTTTTCTAATTGTTGGAGATTGTACGGTGACAGTAACACCTGTAACTGCTTAACCCATTTCTTATGCACTTTGGTTCGATAAACTCACTGAATATCATACCACATCTCCTTATTTTTATATGCATTACAATTTACATGTGCATGTAATTGTTAATAATATTTATATATATATATCAGAACAAACTTCATTGTGTCACTTTTATTTATGCATCCTTTGGCACAATACAAGTTCTAAAATTACACAACATAAAACAACTAAATGTTATTTCAGATGAAAGTTTTGTTTCAGTTCCATTCATAGGATTTATTAGAATTTTGTATGTTTTGCCAAGTCCAATAATTAGCTCTATGTGCACGTGTTAATTGGAGACTTTTCTATCCCGTATAAGAGTTTTGAAACTAATTCTGTTTCTTTTTTTGAAAAAAGTGAGCAAACAAATCTTGCACATTTAAACCTTTGTCTGCCATCACACTGTCACCTGGATCACATAATTGAACTATTCTACATCTTTCAACTATTTCACAGTCACTGGTACAACCAACATATGCATTAGAGACATAGTTGACTAAACCACCAGGTGTCGAACATACAAGTATTTTCAGTGTTTCTGTTTTTATATGATGAAAAGGTTGCCTGAGCTCTAGGAGCTTTAGGTTTTATCACGGGATATTCTGTGCTGTCAATAATAATCCAAGTTGTAGGATACTTTAATTTGAAGTTGGATGGCGAAAAATACCTGACTAAACCACTTAATGGCCAAGTGTTAGCCTCAAGCCACTGTTTAGACATAAAAACAATCCATGTTTACACAATATTCTTAACACTAGTTTCAATCTAGAATCTAGACAGTTCAAAGTTGGTTGTATAATGCCTCAATTTCATCAAAGTCATAAAAAACTGATTTTCAAATGACACCCTATCAATTTGAAAATATATGTATCTCAAACAATGTGCTGCTGGACCAAGTGTGTTGAAAACAAATAAAAATTTAGTATACAACTCTAAACCGGTATAAAAATGCTTGGCTGTGTCACGTGTCTTCATTTCAAAATTCTCTGCTGAAAATATAGGCATTGATGGTGTTTGCGTAATTCCATCTGTGAAGCTCAACATTAGCTCGGCAGTTGGTGGTGGACAGTCATAAATCCTGTCTGCAGTATGAATGACTTCTTCAGGAAAACCAACTTTACAATCAAAACTTTCCTCTAGATTTCTACTACAATATTCATCAAGTTTAGTTCTTTTGTTTTCACAGGAAACTGCCCTGATTTTTCTTTTTGTGGACGATTCAGTCTCTTGCTTAATCCAGGAAAATAGGCTGGGAATGGCAGTAGACCTTAGTCTCTGTATGGTGGGTTTGCGCCCTGAAAAAGGTTATAAAACATTAGTTTTTTGATAATTAAATGAACTTCCATTAGCAATGCATACTTTGTACTACCTGGCAAAATATTAACTAGATTTATTCATTACAATCTGGATAAAACTATGTTAGCCTGAATCAATGTACATCAAAATGTATGTTATGTAAATCCAAAGTAAGTAAGTAAGTAAGTAAAACTTTATTTTGATTCGGCATATTGACAAACATACAAACATAAGCTCTAATGAGGACAAACAATGAGAGACGTATGCAACAAACATACAATGTTTGTACCTAGATAACTATAATATAGATGAGAGCATGTCATTGTTTTGTTCCTGTTAACATTGTCATTGATATTTTTCAAGAAAGTCTATGAGGCATAGCTTATGCATTCCTGTCATTACTACATTAGCATAATTACTGCTAAAATAATTCTCAGTATGATATACCTCTTGTAAGAAATCATTATAATTGTAGCAAGCACCAAAAAATCTCAAACAGATCACATTGAATCGTAATCCAAAAAATTATGACGTCTTGAATTAACCACCCCCTTTTATTCTAAAACCATAATTGCGGTTGTAAACAAATTTTGGTTTATTCGCATGGCGATTACATATATAACTATATATTTTAAAAAGAAAATAGAGTTTTACCATGAATAGTTTCCTGCACGTAGTCTTTTTCAGTAAAATGTGCCTTGCAAACAACAGCTGATTGAGATGGACTCCACGATTTCATCGTGTTCTCGTCCAATCTGCGTATGGGCCATGGCGTTGATCCAACTTTTCCTTCTTTTTAAGTCACTTGGAAATGCATGTCCTCCTCTTAAATGACATCCAGGTACACAACAACATGTACTTGGCATCGTTAATTAAAAATGCAACTGTAATAGTTGCACAGTGCAGAAACCGGAAGTTGAAGAACAGGATCGGCTACCACGGCGCCACCTATTCAGGAACGATAATTTGCTACTTTATATAACCGCGAAATAACAGTTACGTTAGACGGGTTCGCGTGCATAAACAGAAATGCGCTTTAAATTGTATAATATAATTCATGTTCAGTCGACCTTTAATTATTATATCAACGACTGAAATGATTTATAAACATCTAGATTGCAGATAACACTCGAAATTAACCCGACCTCTTTGCACACGGAATTCAAATAATTCTAGTTTGTCAATCGGTTGACTGCTTATAATGTAAAATACAAATATATCAAAAGTTTTTAAAACTAACAAAACACAATGATCGTTTCTCTATTTCCCAATGTAAATGAAATGAAACAAAAAACATTTTATATCACAATAAGAAGAGGAGAGAATCAACATTTTCCGGATCTACTTGGAGCCTAATGACCCCCCACGTAGATAAGTTGGATATCGCGGAAAGAAAGATTAACACGGCAACTAGAAAGGCATTAAAGCACTGCCTTTAAAAAGGAGTTGGCTGACACTGATTTTCTAAATTGTTTGAGACAAGTTGCTAATATAGACCTTTGATGTTAATTTCATAAACATCTGTTAATAATTGTACATGGATGAATATGCAAAGACAGTGGGATGGATGGACAGACGGACTACCAGGATTAAAATTAAATGAAGACTCAATCTTTTTTTATGCGACTGTCATACAGGTGAGAGGTTTAGCTAGCTATAGAGCCAGGTTTAATCCACCATTTTCTACATGAGGAAATGCCTGTGCCAAGTAGGGAATATGACAGTTGTTTTCCGTTCATTTGATGTGTACCGGTAGGAGCTTATGATTTTGCCATTTGATAATGGACTTTCAGTTTTGGGTTTTCCTTGGAATTCGGTATTTTTGTTATCTTACTTTTTTTTGACAAACAAGAACATTCCCATTTATACCATTACAGGGCATGATAATCTCCCATGTACACTACAAATTTTACATATTTCCTAATCCTTGAATGTAAAGAATTTCATAAAGCTGATTTTTTTGATTTTTTTTTAAAGTAAGCAGAAATAGAAATCTGTTAACTGTGCTACATACATTCCAAAGAGTACTCCGCCTAAATGTGCAGCATGATCAAACACCTTCCATCCTAGTAACAGTCCTAAAGCATCAAATGTCATCAGTCCATATAATCCCTGAAAAACATACAACAATCTCATAGCAATCAGTATAGGAAATTACCACTTAAAACATACAACAATCTCATAGCAATCAGTATAGGAAATTACCACTAAAAACATACAACAATCTCATAGCAATCAGTATAGGAAATTACCACTAAAAACATACAACAATCTCATAGCAATCAGTATAGGAAATTACCACTAAAAACATACAACAATCTCATAGCAATCACTATAGGAAATTACCACTAAAAACATACAACAATCTCATAGCAATCAGTATAGGAAATTACCACTAAAAACATACAACAATCTCATAGCAATCAATATAGGAAATTACCACTAAAAACATACAACAATCTCATAGCAATCAGTATAGGAAATTACCACTAAAAAACATACAACAATCTCATAGCAATCACTATAGGAAATTACCACTAAAAAACATACAACAATCTCATAGCAATCAGTATAGGAAATTACCACTAAAAAACATACAACAATCTCATAGCAATCAGTATAGGAAATTACCACTAAAAACATACAACAATCTCATAGCAATCAGTATAGGAAATTACCACTAAAAAACATACAACAATCTCATAGCAATCAGTATAGGAAATTACCACTAAAAACATACAACAATCTCATAGCAATCAGTATAGGAAATTACCACTAAAACAGTAATGATATGTATTTTTGGATAACAGTTGAGAATTTTATTTTGTTATTTGAATCAAGACAGAAGAAAATTCTTACAGCATGATGCTTACAACAGATTTAAACTGTATTTAAGACTAGAGGTCACCTCAATTACACCTTTTTGCCAAGAAAAATACAGAAAAAAGATTTTACTGTTTTGAATAAATCAAGTGTTTAACCCAGAGTGTTCTTAATAAGGTAACTTTCCTCATGCACAATCAAATAGTTTTAATTTTGTTTTTTGTCTTTACTTTCAGATTAACAATATTACTTTTTAAATCAAACTCGATGTCAAGTACAAACCTGTTAACTTCTAATACAAGTTTTGGAAAACTGACCAGAGATTAATGAAAAAGACAGCTGATGAATCAATGCCTGCCAAAGATGACACAGAATATGAAGTGAAGCAGGTACACAAATTTCAAGAAAGAGGAACAAAAGATATTCAGACCTTGGATATATATTAGTGAATATTTTAAACTTGTTTAAGAATTTTTTGTTCACTAGCTTGGCTAACTCACTCACCTTTTCTGCAGAAAAACTAAAACCGAGGATATCTCCTATAAATGCTATAGTCAACTGAGAATCAGGATTTGCCATACAAACTAATCCTATCATGGCACAAATAGCTCCAGACTGAAATAAACAGGTTCTTTTTAAAGTCATATATTGTTCTTATTTTGAAGGGAACCTGCAATGCTCCTATAGATGCACCCTTACATCAAGTCAGTCATTTAGTATTTGAGAACTGTTCTTGAAAATAAAACTTTATCAAGGTCTATGAGGCATGAAATATATGTAAGAGTGAGTGAATTTAGGTTGGAAAATATTATTCTACACAGATGCATCATTACATTAAGTTATAAAATTGAAGGGAAGAATTACCTTATTTTTGTAGTTTTGGTTGGAAGCTCTTAAAAACTCTTTCAGCTGTTTATTAACAATATTGTTCATATGATTTTATATATCTTATAAACTGAATACCAGTTCTTTACTTTGAACTTAATTTACCTTTAATCTTTAAAGAATGAAATGTTGGTCAGAGGGACCTCATTTTGATTGTATGCTCTTATATCCCCTTTGATGCATCCCTACACCAACAATTACAAAACACTAATAATTTACCATACCAAAGGTGTTTCAAATAACATTTATCAAATAAACAAGTCTCATTTATTGTCACAAGATACAAGAAAGGGTTTAACAACACAGAAACCAATTTTTTTAGAGAAAAATTTCAATAAATAATGATATGATTCAACTCCAAACACTGATAACTTGAACTTTTAATGTCAATTCCTTGGAGTTCAGAACCATCAAAGCTCTCTTACATTTTCAAAATTAAATACATGTTATGTAATCGATTTATCATAATTTTTTTATTAGTTTACCTAATCTATTTCCTAGTGTTTACCTATGTTTTATCGGATCGAACATTATAACATCCAACTGAAAACGTAGGGTCAATATTGGTAGCAAAAGAGTCAACCCATGTGATATCACCATGCTATGACCTATAATTTATTTCAAAAGAATTGATCACAATGATATATTTATAGAATTCAGAGTAACAATGTTTTGAAGTGTAGGATGAATCTATATATTGTATAAACTTACAGCTCCGAGTGAAGGCATTGTCCCTTTTATCACAATTTTATGTACAAAGCTGGCCAGGGATGAAATAACACCTGGAAATAAAGCAAAACAATATTGTGAAATTAAGTTAAGGTAACATATCATTTATATGTGTTTTTCTCTCTCATTTTCTGTTTCATTAAATCTCGCTTTATTTAAAATCTATAGGATAGTATATGTATTCAATTCTACCACACATCTAGCTAATTATTCAATATCCATTCTAATAAATGATCATATTTAACAGGTCTTCATATTTACTCAAAAGTTTGGTTAAGACAGATTGGTTTAGTCCAATAACAAAATTTCTTACCTCCACTACAAAGAACTGCAGCCATTTGTTCTTTATTCACTAAATGTAACATAACTCCTGAGAATGACCAGAAGACATACATATTGGCAAACAGGTGAACAAAACTCTGATGGCTTAATGTTGACCACAGCATTGAGGTGACAGAGTGACCTGACAAGAAAAAATTATGTATATGTTATTACAGAATGATATGCATGTGATACATTCTATAAACAAACAAGACAAAGGAAGATAACTCCAATTTTAATATTACCTTTAATGGAATTTTTAGAACAGAAAGATTCACTTACCAGTATGTTATTTTCAATAAAACAGTTTTCTTGACAGGTAATGTTATACACATACACATCATTTTGTTATTTAAATATCAGAGTATATATTTCATTTATGAATTATTTCAAATATACAAGGATAAAATGTAAAGAATGTCCACCATTAGGGTTTTGGTTGCATAAATGCAATCTTTACCCCAAATACAATCATTCCATACACCAATCATAGTTGACCCATTGCTTAAAGTATCTGAGAAAAAGACCTAACAATGAACATTCAATGTTGACCAATGAACCAAGAAAATGAGGTCAAGGTCAGATGAACCCTGTCAGACAGGTATGTACACCTTACAATCATTCCAAAGACTTAATATAGTTAAACCTATTGCTTATAGTATCTCAGGAAAGAATTAAAGTGAAACCACCAAAATTTAACATTGACCAATAAACCATGAAAGTGAGGTCAAAGTCAGATGATATCTACCAGACAGTCATGTACACTTAACAATCAAACCATACACCAAATATAGTTGACGTACTATTGCTTATAGTGACTGATAAAAGGACTTTTAACCAGAAAACTTAATATTGACCATTGGTCAATGAAAATGAGGTCAAGGTCAGGTTAACTCTGCCAGACATACATGTGCACCTTTTAATCATTCCATACACTAAATATAGTTGACCTATTGCTTATAGTATGTGAGAAACAAAACCAACCAAAAAGACGGAACAATGATCAATGAACATGTAAACCTTCCAAGGATCCCATATACCAAATATAGTTATCTGACTACCTATAATAAGTGAGAAATTCAGATGACAATTAAACTCTACAGTTTTTTAAACGGTCCCTGAAGGACAATGGACATATGACAGAGGAATACCTAGTAACATTTAAGTATGAAGCATCCAGTTCATAGTAGTAAAACTGTTATTTATAACAAATCAAAGAAAGAAAAAAGCAAAATCTCCCACTATAACAATTTACATTAGAATGAGATATCATTAAAGTTTACACCTAGATAGAACACAACAGTACTTGTGACTGAGCACCCCAGACCTGTTCTTATTTTTCATCATATATTTCAGCCTTTTCCATGGAAAAACATTGACTGACAATTCAATTTCTTTAGGTTTGTAAATGAAAAGTCTTCAAAAAATGACCCTATAATGGAACTTTTATATACAACGTGTGATTATATAAACTGAGTCACAAACAATTTGTTATTCTCTCTGTGCCAGTCGTCATTGCTTTATTAATTATTTTGTACAGAACACTTCTATTCATTTTCACTTATACTTTCTCATACTAAATATCAATCTGAACTGGATTTAATTAATGTAGCAGGTCAAATGTTCTCCTGAACACCTTCCAAATGAATTTTTACCTGAATCCATTGTAAATATATATATGGACCTTTTTATAGCTTAATATATACTATCAGTTTTACTCATTGTTGAAGGCCGTAGAGTGCCTTATAGTTGTTTACATCCTCGTCCTTTGGTCTCTGGTGGATATTCATCTCATTGGCAATAATACCACATCTCCTTATTCTTAAACAACAGGTTTCTGATAAGGAATATAATTGCATCAGATTTAAAATTTAGATAGGAAACATATTTTAGACTGACTTGTAAAACTAGTTTCACAATGTTTATATATTGTCCCTATTTTGTTATTGGCTCTCTGTCTGACTTTTAACTCCTACTTTATAGGAAAGAAGTATCTGAGTTAAAAATGATTTTATGGTTCAACTAGCAAGCAAGGTGACCAAAGATTCTGTTTTCCTACACAATCAAATATATGTGCTGTAACTAATATATATCTCTTTTTATTCATATTGAATGATAATGTAAGTTACATCACAGCCAAGGATCTTTTGTAATAAATTCTGTCATTGCTCATTCAAGAAACTTAATTAAATGTTATCTAACATAAATTTTGATAAATGTATGTAAATTAAAGAGGCTCCCAAGAAAGATCCTGAATCACTCAACTGGTAAAAATATTTCATTTTGATATTTTTGTTACTTTTAGCATGTTTATTGCAATCAGTTATGTTTGCTTATTTGTTAATCTATTTAGTAATATTTTTGTAGATCTTGTATTGGTGATCATTTAACTGTTTACAGTTTATGTGCCTATCTTTAAAGTTTCCGAGATAATTGTCAAAATTATAAAAATTAGTAAAAAATCATTATTTAAGTATAATAAATCTTATAACAAGTCTGACAATTTGGCTAGACAAGGTTGTCTTACTTGCAGATCTTATTTTGCTCTTTAAAGTTTCTCTCTTTTTACTAGTTTTTTGATAAAAATGCAAAAAGTAGATCTTATTGTTCTAAACATCTTTGCTGATTGATTGTTGTTTGCTTAGCATCCAGTGGCAAATATTTCATGCTATTCAGGGTGGGAACAAAGTAACAATTAATACAATAGGTAGTTCTTGCAATAGTGTTGAAAGGGATGAAAAGCAGGAAATTTTGAATGCCTCTGGAAAATGGGTAAATTGAAAAGGAACATAAATTTAGCCTTGCAACAGGCTATCTACGGACCCCTCAAAGAGTTGTTGCAAAGGTTTCTGAACCTACTATAAGTAGTCAGTTGACATTTTTAGCAATGTTGACTCATCTATAGATCTTATTGTGCTAACATCATTGATATTTACAATTTGTTTCTGTCTTTTATGGTTTTTTTTTGCAAAAATGGGTGATAATCTTTTTCAAGGGTTCCTTTAGGGGGTCAATTGATGATTTTGGCATGTTGACTTACTGTTAGATCTAATTTTGCTGAACATTTTTGCTGTAACAGTTTCTCTATATCTATTTTGGTTTCTGCAAAAATTGATAAAAATCATCTTTCAAGGACAATAACTCCTTGAAGGATTCAATTTTAAGATTTAGGCCATGTTGACTAATTTATAGATCTTATTGTTCAGGTCATTTTTAATATTTTAAATTCCTCTCCATCTTCATGATAATAACCAAAAATTTCAAAATTTGCTAAAAATTGACATTTCAGGAACAATAATAGTTCGAAACTGATTGTCAGATTTTTCTAATAAACTGTTTACACAGAGATATGTCTCGCCTTTTTGTACTTTTGATAATGCAAATGTTGAAATTAAAATAGCAATACTTTAACATGTAAGTTATGCAAATATTCAAAGTCAATGAACCATGACTGAAGGTACATGGCAAAACAATCTCAATGGAAAGGAGATGTGCCAATGCTAATACAACTGCATACCAAATACCACAGACTTATCATAAGGCGTTCCCTTTCAACAAACCTAAACACAAACATTGACTGGTAAACTATGTAAAAGTTTCAAAATCAATGAACCATGATGAGGGGGTGGGGCTATATAATCCATGGAAACAAGACTTGCAAATGCCAATACATTTGCATACCAAATATCATTGACTTAACATTAGCGGTTCATCTTAAACTGATCTAATCACAAACTAATACATGAAAACGAAGCAAAAGTTTCAAAGTCAATAGACCACGAATGAGGGGGCGGGGCCAAATAATCTCCATGGAAATGAGATGTGCCAATGCTTATACAACTGCATACCAAATATCATTGACCTACCACTAGTGGTTCCCCATAAACTGACCTAATCACAAATTAATACATGTAAACAAAGCAAAGTTTCAAAGTCAATAGACCTTGACTGAGGGGGCAGGGCCAAATAATCTCCATGGTAATGAGATGTGCCAATGCTTATACAACTGCATACCAAATATCATTGATCTACCACTAGTGGTTCACCATGAACTAGACCTAATCACAAACTAATACATTGTTGACGCCGCCGCCGTCGCCGACGCTAGAACAGCATACCTATGTCTCGCATTTTGACTCCGTCAAGGCGAGACAAAAATTACATAGGAGATAGATCTTGATCTGCTGATCATTTTTCTGCCTATTTTGCTCTAACTGCTTTAGCTTTTGATAAATGCCAATAAATTGCTTCGCTGAGCGCAGCTGGATACGACCGCAGATGTCCAACCTTGAAAAGTTGGGGCCAAAATGGACACAATATTCACGCTTGATACAGGTCTGAATTTGGATTGTAACTAAATTTTTGACACATAATAGGTTTCTGACACAGAATAACTGTAGTCAAAGAACTTCAAATTGGTTATATGATTTGAATTTATATTCAATTTTTTTGCTTTTGTGCAATACACTATGCTGTTGCGAATTGACCCCCCCCCCCCCAAAAAAAAAAATTTACCCCAGTTTTTTGCTTTTGTGCAATACACTATGCTGTTGAATATTAACCCCCAAAAAAAAATATTTGAAGAAATTTTCTTTTAATTTCTGAAATCTGAAATGAGAAAAATTGTCCCCCCCCTCCAATTTTGTTCACCCCCCCCCTTTTCCCTTATTCCCCCAAAAAAAATCTTTCCCTCAAGATATGGTCAGTATCTCAATTCAAATTTCTAATGGAGTTTGCAACCATAATTACCCATTTAAATACATCATAAAAGTTTAAAATATAAAATGACATACATAGTCATGGCTAAATTTAATATTAATTAATAGTAACTGCTAAAAATAAATTGACAGTTAATCACCTCAAGACAATCATCTTTTCTTAATACATAATTTACAAGCAGTGTAAGGGAGGTAATCAAACAGTGTTCTTTTAATTGATTTGGATTACCTCCCTTACACTGCTTTTAAATTGTCTCAATTGTCCTTTAACCAGAAAAACCCTTGTTTTTCCCCTTTTTTTGCCCCTAATTACCATTTGGTTTGAGCCATAACCCCCCAAAGTCAATCATTACCATCCCTTTGTATTATGGAAACTTGTGGTTTAATTTCAGAGAGATTCATACACTTTAACACAAGTTATTGTCTGGAAACTACAAAAATGCTTATTTGGGCCCCTTTTTGGCCCCTATTTCCTAAACAGTTGGGACCATAACCCCCAAAATCAATCCCAACCTTCCTTTAGTGGTTATAAACCTTGTGTTAAAATTTTATTGATTTCTATTTACTTATTCTAAAGTTATTATCCGGACGACGACGACGACGTGATACCAATATACGACAAAAAAAATTTTAATTTTTGCGGTCGTATAAAAACTGCATTTCACCCCAATGTTCTATTTTAGCAACAGGGGCCATATTTGTTGATGGATCAAATCCCTGGATATAATCAGTAATATTTGGCCCTGTAGATTTTTTGAAGTTTAGGACAGACAGATGATGGATGATGACAATGGATGCCAACTGATGGCAAAAGCTTACATGGCCTTTTTGGTCAAGTGAGCTAAAAAGTAGACGAAAGCATGTGTCAAAAAGACAGCAAAACAACAATAATCTCTGAAGAGGTGTTTTTCCCATTGTTGTAGTTCTTGACTTATTTTATCAGCGAAATTTGTAGTCATGGTTACTTAGATTATATATCAAATAGGAATTTCCAAAAATATTGGGCAATAAACCAGACCACATCAACCACCAACAACCCACTCCTAAGAAAAAAGGCTGTATCTATATCTAAGTATGATTTAGTCTTTGTAAACATAAGAAATATAATTTAATAATATTACATGAGTTGCCAGGTCTCATACAGTTTAATACAGTAACTAGACAACAATATCCAAGTCTTTACTAATCCTAATTAAGCTTACCTGAAGTTGGTGAACAGGTAAAATATCTATATAAAGCATTATTTACAGATGTATTCTTCAACCTCCACATTAAAAACACTGCAATATTAACACCTGTTATAGTCCATACCATTTTTTCACCTTCAGTTAAACTATTCCACATTGAACTGATCTAAATGTTAAAAGAAACAAAATACTACTGGTGTTGATTAGAAAAGTCACAAAACTGAAAAGGCAATACATGTATATAAAATTACAACAAAGCGATTTCAAATATATATGAACATGTTGTATTATGACATTACTAGTAAAAATATACAAGAGCCAAAACTATTTTATAATCATGTGCTTGTATATATGTTCTCCCTTATACAAAAAGAGAATAGAATTGGTATTAATTGATAAAATCCAATTTATGCTCTCTTGCAATGTTTTTTTTGTACTGAGGATCAGAGGAAGAAGGTTGATTAAAATCTTTATTTATCTAAGCTTAAAAACTTCAAAATAAATGCTAATTCAAAACATTTTAACCTTATGCTCTTCTTTTTTTTTCAATTTGGCAATTAAAGTTTCTATTTATGCATCCTGGTATTCAAGTTAATTCTCAAAATGCTACAATTGCTTGACAATCATCATCCACGTACAATTATGAGTCAACTGATGGTTAAAGACAAATTGGTATATATATTTATAAATCAAGCATTTTTTTATATATAAAGTGTTAGTTATGAATACTTACATGCTGTCTAAAACCAAAATTCTTTAGAAACTGTAAATTATTGGTTGATTGATCATTCCCCAACTTGATTTTTGTAGCATATGACCTCATTCCTTCATACTGCCAGATCATAGCACCAGTAAAACTGCAACCACAAACCTAAAACAGTGTTACCTTAAAATACTTAGATCATGTAGATAGATCATAGCACCAGTAAAACTGCAACCACAAACCTAAAACAGTGTTACCATAAGATACTTAGATAGATCATAGCACCAGTAAAACTACAACCACAAACCTAAAACAGTGTTACCATAAAATACTTAGATCATGTAGATAGATCATAGCACCAGTAAAACTACAACCACAAACCTAAAACAGTGTTACCATAAAATACATAGATCATGTAGATAGATCATAGCACCAGTTTAACTGCAACCACAAACCTAAAACAGTGCTACCATAAAATACTTAGATCATGTAGATAGATCATAGCACCAGTAAAACTGCAACCACAAACCTAAAACAGTGTTACCATAAAATACATAGATCATGTAGATAGATCATAGCACCAGTTTAACTGCAACCACAAACCTAAAACAGTGCTACCATAAAATACTTAGATCATGTAGATAGATCATAGCACCAGTAAAACTGCAACCACAAACCTAAAACAGTGCTACCATAAAAAACATAGATCATGTAGATAGATCATAGCACCAGTTTAACTGCAACCACAAACCTAAAACAGTGTTACCATAAAATACTTAGATAGATCATAGCACCAGTAAAACTGCAACCACAAACCTAAAACAGTGTTACCCAAACGGTCAAGTGAGCTTTTCTCATCAACTGGTGTCCGTCGTCGTCGTCCGTCGTCGTTAACTTTTACAAAAATCTTCTCCTCTGAAACCACTGGGCCAAATTAGACCAAACTTGGCCTAAATCATCCTTAGGGTATCTTGTTTAAAAAATGTATCCAATGACCCCACCCACCAATCAAGAAAGCCGCCATGGCTAAAAATAGAACATAGGGGTAAAATGCAGTTTTTGGCTTAAATCTCTGAAACTAAAGCATTTAGAGCAAATCTGACATGGGGTAAAAATTTCATCAGGTCAAGATCTACCTACCCTAATATTTTCAGACGAATCAGACAACCTGTTGTTGGTTTGCTGCCCCTAAATTGGTAATTTTAAGGAAATTTTGCAGTTTTTGGTTATTATCTTGAATATTATATTAGATAGAACTGTAAACAGCAAAAATATTCAGCAAAGTAAGATCTACAAATAAGTCGACATGACCAAAATTGTCAATTGACCCTTAAAGGAGTTATTGCCCTTTTGTAAATTTTTGTAATCTTTTACAAAAATCTTCTGAAATTACTGGGCCAAGTTAAACCATACTTGGCCTAAATCATCCTTAAGGTATTTAGTTTAAAACATGTATCAGATGACCGTGCCCACCTACCAAGATGGCCACCAAGGCTAATAAACTGCTTCCCTGAGTGCAGCTGGATACGCCCACAGAGGTCAAACCCTGAACAGTTGGGGCAATTTGAACACAATATTCAAGCTTGATACAGGTCTGAATTTGGATTGTAATTAAATATTTGACATATTATAGGTTTCTGAATAAATGTAGTCAAAGAACTTGAAATTAGTTATATGAATTGAATTTATATTCAATTAAAGATTTCTTGCTGTTGTGCAATACCCTGTGCTGTTGCGCAATACTTAGTAAATCTGTTGTCAGACTATAAACAAATAAAGTTCAATTTCTTCTCAATGTCATATTTGAAATTTATGAAAATCAATAGGGAGATTACATCAATAGCTATAAATAATTCACCAAAGTTTCATGAGAACTGCTGAAAGCATTTTTGAGTTATTGTCCAATAAACTGCTTCGCTGAGTGCAGCTGGATACGCCCGCAGAGGTCTAACCCTGAACAGTTGGGGCAAAAATGGACACAATATTCAAGCTTGATACAGGTCTGAATTTGGATTGTAATTAAATATTTGACATACATCTATCATAGGTTTCTGAATAAATGTAGTCAAAGAACTTGAAGTTGGTTAGATGAATTGAATTTATATTCAATTAAAGATTTCTTGCTGTTGTGCAATACACTGTGCTGTTGCGCAATACTTAGTAAATCTGTTGTCAGACTATAAACAAATAAAATTTATAAAATTCTAAAGGGAGCTTACATCAATAGATATAAACAGTTCACCAAAGTTTCATACGAATTGCTGAAAGCATTTTTGAGTTTTTGTCTGAAAACTGGAAAATCCCCCCTTTTTTAATGAATAAACCCCATAATTCAGAAATGTAAAATCTAAAATTTATAAAATTCTAAAGGGAGCTTACATCAATAGATATCAACGTTTCATCAAAGTTTCATGAGAACTGCTGAAAGCATTTTTGAGTTATTGTCCCAAAACTGGAAAATCCCCCTTTTTTTTATGAATAAAACCCCATAACTCGGAAACGTAAAATCTAAAATTTATAAAAATCCAAAGGGAGCTCATGTCAATAGATATAAACAATTAACCAAAATTTCTTGCAAGTTGGTGAAAGCATTCTCGAGTTATTGTCAGAAAACTGGAAAATCCGCCTTTTTTTAATGAATAAAACCCCATAACTCAGAAACGTAAAATCTAAAATTTATAATAAACGAAAGGGAGCTCATGTCAATAGATAATCAAAGCACGAAAGCGCTGTAAAGGCAGTTAATTACAGGTTGTGTGTATTTTAAGTCCAGTTACATCATTATCTTGCATAGTACAGTGTACTTATCAGAGGTGGCTTTCAGTATTTAAGATTTAGAGTTCTCTAATGATATTGAATAAGTTTTATGAATGTCATATTCTGAGCACTATATGAAGGCGATTGTTCTCACTTGTTTATGAACTAGTGCATTATGTCCAGTTTGTACCTTTTTTATCTATGTTTATAGTCAAATTAGTTATCAAAGGTACCAGGATTATAATTTAATACGCCAGACGTGTGTTTCGTCTACATAAGACTCATCAGTGACGTTCAGATCAAAATAGTAACAAAGCCAAACGAGTACAAAGTTGAAGAGCATTGAGGACCCAAAATTCCAAAAAGTTGTGCCAAATACGGCTAAGGTAATCTATTCCTTGGATAAGAAAATCCTTAGTTTTTTCATTGGCAATCATAACACATCTCCTCATTTATATAATGATCTATATTCAACGACCTCAGGTTAAAAAAAAATGTATGTAACTAAACTATGATGGGAAACCTTTGACTTCTTTCTTTATATAAACTTTTGATTTGGTACCATAGAACTATGTAGAGTAAATGTACATTGCAACATGTCAACTCTTTCAACTCCAAGCAAAATTATATTTCCAAGCATAAAGTAATTTATGAATGAAATAATATGAACACAACATTCAAGCTTGATTCAGCACTGAATTTGGATTGTAATTAAATATTTGACACAGCATAGGTTTCTGACACAGAATGAAAGTGGTCTAAGATACTTAAAAAAAATTAATTTACCTATTCAAACCATATCATTATTATTTGCTTTTATATATAAATCAGAAATAACCAATTTAAAATGGAAAATTTTAAAGAAAAAAAAGGAAAAAGAATCCCCCCCCCAAATTTTTTGAACCCCCTTATGATTCATCACCCCAAAACTCAATCCCAGCCTTCCCTTTGTGGTATGGTACCTTGCGGTACAATTTCAGAGAGATCCATACACTTGAACACATGTTATTGTCTGGAAACTAGAAAAATGCTTGTTTTTTTGCCCCTTTTTGGTCCCAAATTCCTAAACGTTTAGGGCAATTACCCCCAAACTCAAACTCAGCTTTCCCTTTGTGATATGGAACCTTGTAGTACAATTTCATAAACATCCATACACTTACACACAAGTTATTGCCATGAAACTAGAAAAATGCTTGTTTTTTGCCCCTTTTTGGCCCCTAATTCCTAAAATTTGGAGGCAATTACCCCCAAAATCAATCCCAGCATTCCCTTTGTGATATGGAACCATGTGATACAATGTCAGAGAGATCCATAGACTTACACACAAGTTAGTGTCATGAAACTAGAAAAATGCTTGTTTTTTGCCCCTTTTTGGCCCCTAATTCCTAAAATTTGGAGGCAATTACCCCCAAAATCAATCCCAGCATTCCTTGTGGTATGGTACCTTGCAGTACAATTTCAGAGAGATCCATACACTTGAACACAAGTTATTGTCTGGAAACTAGAAAAATGCTTATTTTTGGCCCCTTATTCCTAAACTTTTTGGGCAATTACCCCCAAACTCAATTCCAGCTTTCCCTTTGTGATATGGAACCTTGTAGTACAATTTCATAAAGATCCATACACTTACACACAAGTTATTGCCATGAAACTAGAAAAATGCTTGTTTTTTGCCCCTTTCTGGCCCCTAATTCCTAAACTTTGGAGGCAATTACCCCCAAATTCAATCCCAGCATTCCTTTTGTGATATGGAACCTTGTGATACAATGTCAGAGAGATCCATAGACTTGCACACAAGTTATTGTCATGAAACTAGAAAAATGCTTGTTTTTTGCCCCTTTTTGGCCCCTAATTCCTAAAATTTGGAGGCCATTACCCCCAAAAATCAATCCCAGCATTCCCTTTGTGATATGGAACCTTGTGGTACAATGTCAGAGAGATCCATACACTTACACACAAGTTATGTCTGGAAGTTACAAAAATGCTTATTTTTGGCCCCCAATTCCTTAACTGTTAGTACCATAACCCCCAAAATCAATCCCCACTTTCCTTTTGTGGTATTGAACCTTATTTTAAAATTTCATTGAGATCCATTCACTTAAACTAAAGTTAGAGTGCGAAAACTAATGTGTCTTCGGACGACGACGCCAATGTCATACCAATATACGACCACAAAAATTTTTTTGCGGTCGTATAAAAAGGAGTTCTTAATTAAGAAATAAACTGATTCGCTGAGCGCAGCTGGATACACCCGCAGAGGTACTACCCTGAATTGCTGGGGCAAAAATGGACACAATATTCAAGCTTGATACAGGTCTGAATTTGGATTGTAATTAAATATTTGACATATTATAGTTTCTGAATAAATGTAGTCAATGAACTTGAAATCGGTTATATGAATTGAATTTATATTCAATTAAAGATTTCTTGCTGTTGTGCAATACACTGTGCTGTTGTGCAATACTTAATAAATCTGTTGCCAGACTATAAACAAATAAAGTTCAATTTCTTCTCAATGTCATATTTGAAATTTATGAAAATCAATAGGGAGATTACATCAATAGCTATAAATAATTCACCAAAGTTTCATGTGATCTGCTTAAAGCATTTTTGAGTTGTTGTCCAAAAACTGGAAAATCCCCCCTTTTTTAATGAATAAAACCCCATAACTCAGAAATGTAAAATCTAAAATTTATAAAATTCTAAAGGGAGCTTACGGATTGATAATTTAGTCTTAGATGCAAGATTTTTTTATCAGTTGTTAGTGGCTTTGAACTAGCTGTCAGTAACTGCGAGTACTCTCAGATTTGTACTTAGTGTCTTTTTGTTGTTTGGATGTACAACTACCCGACCACGTCCACTTGTATTTGTATTTATCCATCTGATGAGTTTAGCCTCTTTCAACTGATTTTTATAGTTCTTTCTTATATTGTACTGTTACACCACTGTCCCAGGTTAGGGGGAGGGTTGGGATCCCGCTAACATGTTTAAGTCCGCCACATTCTGTATGTACATGTATGTGCATGTCCCAAGTCAGAAGCCTATAAAAGTGTAATTCAGTGGTTGTCGTTTGTTTATGTGTTGCATATTTGTTATATTTGTTCATTTTTTTACATAAAATAGGCCGTTAGTTTTCTTGTTTGAATTGTTTTACATTGTCATTTCTGGGCCTTTTATAGCTGACTGTGCGGTATGGGCTTTGCTCATTGTTGAAGGCCGTACTGTGACCTATAGCTGTTAATTTCTGTGTCATTTGGTCTCTTGTGCATGTGTGGAGAGTTGTCTCATTGGCAATCATACCACATCTTCTTTTTTATATTTACATCAACAGATATAAAAAATTCACCAAAGTCAAGGTGAGACAACAAAACTTAGTTGTAAGATCTCTGAAATTTTTTACAGGTTACGAGTTTTTCTCATTGTTGGAGATTGTACGGTGACAGTAACACCTGTAACTGCTTAAACCCATTTCTTATGCACTTTAGTTTGATAAACTCACTGAATATCATACCACATCTCCTTATTTTTATATGCATTACAATTTACATGTGCATGTAATTGTAAATATATATATATCAGAACAAAATTCATTGCGTCACTTTTATTTATGCATCCTTTGGCACAATACAAGTTCTAAAATTACACAACATAAAACAACTAAATGTTATTTCAGATGAAAGTTTTGTTTCAGTTCCATTCATAGGATTTATTAGAATTTTGTATGTTTTGCCAAGTCCAAATTACACAACATAAAACAACTAAATGTTATTTCAGATGAAAGTTTTGTTTCAGTTCCATTCATAGGATTTATTAGAATTTTGTATGTTTTGCCAAGTCCAATAATTCGCTCTATGTGACATAGAGACATAGTTGACTAAACCACCAGGTGTCGAACATTCAAGAATTTTCAGTGTTTCTGTTTTTATTTGATGAAAAGGTTGCCTGAGCTCTAGGAGCTTTAGGTTTTATCACGGGATATTCTGTGCTGTCAATAATAATCCAAGTCGTAGGAAACTTTAATTTGAAGTTGGATGGTGAAAAATACCTGACTAAACCACTAGATGGCCAAGTGTTAGCCTCACACCACTGTTTAGACATAAAAACAATCCATGTATACACAATATTCTTAACACTAGATTCAATCTAGAATCTAGACAGTTCAAAGTTGGTTGTATGATGCCTCAATTTCATCAAAGTCATAAAAAAACTGATTTTCAACTGACACCCTATCAATTTGAAAATATATGCATCTCAAACAATGTGCTGCTGGACCAAGTGTGGTCAAAACAAATAAAAATTTAGTATACAACTCTAAACCAGTATAAAAATGCATGGCTGTGTCACGTGTCTTCATTTCAAAATTCTCCGTTAAAAACATAGGCATTGATGGTGTTTGCGTAATTCCATCTGTGAAGCTCAACATTAGCTCGGCAGGTGGTGGTGGACAGTCATAAATCCTTTCTGCAGTATGAATGACTTCTTCAGGAAAACCAACTTTACAATCGAAACTTTCCTCTAGATTTCTACTACAATATTCATCAAGTTTAGTTCTTTTGTTTTCACAGGAAACTGCCCTGATTTTTCTTTTTGCGGACGATTCAGTTTCTTGCTTGGTCCAGGAAAATAGGCTGGGAATTGCAGTAGACTTAAGTCTCTGTATGGTGGGTTTGCGCCCTGAAAAAGGTTATAAAACATTAGTTTTTTTATAATTAAATGAACTTCCATTAGCAATGTATACTTTGTACTACCTGGCGAAATATTAACTAGATTTATTCATTACAATCTGGATAAAACTATGTTTGCCTGATTCAATGTATGTTATGTAAATCCAAAGTACAAACAATGAGAGACTTATGCAACAAACGTACATTGTTTGTACCTAAATAACTATAATATAGATGAGAGCATGTCATTGTTTTGTTCCTGTTAACATTGTCATTGATATTTTTCAAGAAAGTCTATGAGGCATAGCTTATGCATTCCTGTCATTACTACATTAGCATAATTACTGCTAAAATAATTCTCAGTATGATATACCTCTTGTAAGAAATCATTATAATTGTAGCAATCACCAAAAAATCTCAAACAGATCACATTGAATCGTAATCCAAAAAATTATGACGTCTTGAATTACCCACCCCCTTTTATTCTAAAACGATAATTGCGGTTGTAAACAGACTTTGGTTTATTCGCATGGCGATTACATATATAACTATATATTTCACAAAGAAAATAGAGTTTTACCATGAATAGTTTCCTGCACGTAGTCTTTTTCAGTAAAACGTGCCTTGCAAACAACAGCTGATTGAGATGGACTCCACGATATCATCGTGTTCTCGTCCAATCTGCGTATGGGCCATGGCGTTGATCCAACTTTTCCTTCTTTTTAAGTCATTTGGAAATGCATGTCCTCCTCTTAAATGACATCCAGGTACACAACAACAAGTACTTGGCATCGTTAATTAAAAATATAACTAAAATAGTTGCACAGTGCAGAAACCGGAAGAAGAGGAACAGGATCCGCTACCACGGCGCCACCTATTCAGGAACGATAATTTGCTACTTTATATAACTGCGAACATAACGTTAGACGGGTTCACGTGCATAAACAGAAATGCGCTTTAAATTGTATAATATAATTCATGTTCAGTCGACCTTTAATTATTATATCAACGACTGAAATGATTTATAAACATCTAGATTGCAGATAACACTCGAAATTAACCCGAGCTCTTTCCACACGGAATTCAAATAATTCTAGTTTGTCAATCGGTTGACTGCTTATAATGCAAAATACTAATATATCAAAAGTTTTTAAAACTAACAAAACACAATGATCGTTTCTCTAATTCCCAATGTAAATGAAATGAAACAAAAAACATTTTATATCGCAATAAGAAGAGGAGAGAATTCAACATTTCCGGATCTACTTAGAGTTTAATGACCCCCCACGTAGATAAGTTGAATATCGCGGAAGGAAGGATTAACCCGGCAACTAGAAAGGCATTAAAGCACTGCCTTTAAAAACAATTCACCAAAGTTTTAAGCAAATTGGTTAAAGCGTTTTTGAGTTAATGTCCGACATGTTGACAACGGACGGACGGACGGACGGACAGACGGACGTACAACGGTATACCATAATACGTCCCGTAAACGGGCGTATAAAAAATGGAAAATCCCCCCTTTTTTAATGAATAAAACCCCATAACTCGGAAACGTTAAATCTAAAATTTATAAAAATCCAAATTTTAGACGGTTTCCATCTTAAATGGAAGTGGCCGCATTTGTGTTCATTCTTAATATTTAAATGTAAGTTGTATTTGATGATAATACATAACATATATAAAGGTTGAGAGTGAACACGGATGTGGCCACTTTCATTTTTGACAAAAACCATCTGAAAATGAACATATTATGGCATATTTGATAGATTTTTCATATCTAAGCTTGAATTTGATCGACTGAAATGACTAAATCAGTTCAAATCTTTCACATAAAGTAATTGAATCGACTGAAGTAGACAGACACTTAAGTGTTTAATAAAATGCTCCGCAAGGCGCAGCTTGATACGACCGCAGAGGTCGAACCCTGAACAGTTGGGGCAAGTATGGACACAACATTCAAGCTTGATACAGCTTTGCATTTGGATTGTGATTAAATATTTGACACAGCATAGGTTTCTGACACAGAATGAATGTGGTCTATATAAGAACTTAAAAATTTTAAATTGGACATTCACCTATTATGGTCCAATATCCAAAATCTAAATACATGGTTAGATTCAGCATATCAAAGAACCCCAAGAATTCAATTTTTGATGAAATCAAACAAATTTTAATTTTGGACCCTTTTGACCTCAATGTGGACAAAGTTGATAACGCGGCCCAAAAATCAAAAATCTAAATACATGGTTAGATTCAGCATATCAAAGAACCCCATATATTCAATTTTTGTTGAAATCAAACAAAGTTTAATTTTGGACCCCGATTTGGACCAACTTGAAAACTGGGCCCATAATCAAAAATCTAAATACATGTTTAGATTCAGCATATCAAAGAACCCTAAGAATTCAATTTTTGTTAAAATCAAACTAAGTTTAATTTGGGACCCTTTGGACTTTAATGTAGACCAATTTGAAAACGGAACCAAAAATTAAGAATCTAAATACATGGTTAGATTCGGCATATCAAAGAACCCCAATAATTCAATTTTTGATGAAATCAAACAAACTTTAATTTTGGACCCTTTGGACCTCAATGTGGACCAATTTAAAAACGGGGCCCAAAATCCAAAAACTAAATACACGGTTAGATTCAGCATATTAAAGAAACCCAAGAATTCAAGAATAAAACCCCATTGAAATTGGTCAAGAAATAAGCAATTTATACGAAGTATCTTCTTTTGCACAATACTGTGCAATTAAATATTTCTTGCTATTGCGCAATACTGTACAATTGACAATTTCTTGTGCGCAATATTGTGCTATTGGATATTTCTTGCTATTGCGCAATACTGTGCAATTGAAGATTTCTTGCTATTGCACAATACTGTGCAATTGAAGTTTTCTTGCTATTGTGCAATACTGCGCAATTGAAAATTTCTTGCTATTGCACAATACTTATTATATAATAATTTACACATCCTGTTTGGTGTGTATCTCCTTCCATATCATTATTATTTGCTTTTAAATATAAATCAGAAATAACCAACTTAAAATGGAAAATTTTAAAAGAAAAAAAAAAGGAAAAAAAAAAAAATCCCCCCCCCAAAATTTTTTGAACCCCCTTATGATTCATCACCCCAAAACTCAATCCCAGCCTTCCCTTTGTGGTATGGTACCTTGCAGTACAATTTCAGAGAGATCCATACACTTGAACACAAGTTATTGTCTGGAAACTAGAAAAATGCTTATTTTTGGCCCCTTTTTGGCCCCCAATTCCTAAACGTTTCGGCAATTACCCCGAAACTCAATTCCAGCTTTCCCTTTGTGATATGGAACCTTGTAGAACAATTTCAGAAAGATCCATACACTTACACACAAGTTATTGTTATGAAACTAGAAAAATGCTTGTTTTTTGCCCCTTTTTTGGCCCCTAATTCCTAAAATTTTGAGGCAATTACCCCCAAAATCAATCCCAGCATTCTTTTTGTGATATGGAACCTTGTGGTACAATGTCAGAGAGATCCATACACTAACACACAAGTTATGTCTGGAAGTTACAAAAATGCTTATTTTTGGCCCCTTTTTGGCCCCTAATTCCTTAACTGTTAGTACCATAACCCCCAAAATCAATCCCAACCTTCCTTTTGTGGTATTGAACCTTGTGGTAAAATTTCATAGAGATCCATTCACTTAAACTAAAGTTAGAGTGCGAAAACCAATGTGTCTTCGGACGACGCCGGACGACGCCAGATGACGACGACGTCATACCAATATACAACCACAAAAATTTTTTTGCGGTCGTATAAAAAGTGTCCAAAATCTTTCATCAGATGAACCTGAAATTTGAGGCCAAAATCGGCCCTTAACGGACCTACTCCTTTATACAAAACGAAAGGGAGCTCATGTCAATAGATATAAACAATTCACTAAAGTTTCATGCATATTGGTTAAAGCTTTTTTGAGTTAATGTCCAACATGTTGACGACGGACGGACGGACAGACAGATGGACGGTCAATGGTATACCATAATACGTCCCGTAAACGGGCGTATAAATTTTGAACATAGAGGTAAAATGCAGTTTTTGGCTTATATCTCTGAAACTAAAGCATTAAGAGCAAATCTAACGGGGTTCAAATGTTCAACAGGTCAACATGACCAAAATTGTCAATTGACCCCTTAAGGAGTTATTGCCCTTTAAAGTAAATTTTTCACTTTTTTCATAATTTTTTTTAATCTTTTACAAAAATCTTCTCCTCTTAATCTACTTGGCCAAACGGAATTAAACTTAGCCACAATTATTATTAGAGTATCTTGATTGAAAAATGTATCCGATGACCCTGCCCTACAACCAACATGGTCCCCATTGGTAAAAATAGAACATAGGGGTTTACTATAGAAGTCTATGGGAAAAATGTAAAAAAACAATTTTAAATGGTCACAACTTGAAAACTAATTTGAATAATGATAAGGGGTCTTCAGTAACTATTGTAAGACTACAATGGGATGACTTGATTTTTTTTCCAGGGGGTGCAATTTTGTCAGGGGTGGGGTGCTTATAATTTCTCCTTGATATGTTCCGTATTCAGAATTATTCAGTGTTTCTTTTTCTATAAATCATTATTATATCTTTTCTTTCAGCATACTTATATTGGTTGAATGCCCCCCAGACCCGGGTTAGTCAGGGTCAGGGGAACCCCTGCCCCAATTTTTTTTGAAGGGTGTTCCATAAAAACATTTAAAGGCATTTTCAGCATTATACAGGCCCTGCAGGGTGAAATAAATTTTGAAGCAGAGGAAAGGAAATTTTTTGTTTTTTGTTAATCATCATTATAGATTGAGATATACTGTAAACAGCAAAAATATCAAGCAAAGAAAGATCTACAAATAAGTTAACATGACCAATTGGCAATTGACATCTTATTGAAGTTATTGTCCTTTAATGTTATTTTCTGCAATTTATTGGTAATTTTTGTAAATCTTTTCAAAAATCTTCTGCTTTTAATTTAACTACTGAGCCAAATTAAACCAAACTTGGCCTCAATCATTATTAGGGTATCTATATCATTTTAACCTTATTTTACATGATTTCCAAACCCACAGTAGATACAGGTGAGGGACACAGGCTCTTGAGAGCCTCTAGTTTAATGAATAAAACTCCATATCTTGGAAACGTCAAATCTAAAATTTATAAAAATCAAAAGGGAGCTCACGTCAATAGATATAAACAATTCATCAAAGTTGGTTGAAACGTTTTTGAGTTAGTGTACGACATGTTGACGACGGACAATGGTATACCATAATACATCCCGTAAACGGGCGTATAAAAATACATGTTGCACAACTTCAATAATGGTGGAAGGGTCATGTACATGATGTAAGTTATGTAGGTTTCTGACAAATGGTTAAAGAGGAGATGAGTATTTACAAAAGATGACACAACCATGACAACATACAATAAATGGGGAATGTGTCTATGGGACACAGATGATGCCCCTGCTTGCATATAACATTATAAAGGGACATAACTCTAGAACGGTAAAAGTGACACCACCAAAATTCAAACTTGATCTGTGTTTTGTGGTAATAAGCATTGTGTTTAAGTTTCATAACATTTGGTTGAGGCAAACTAAAATTAGAGATCGGAAACGAAAAATTCAACAATTTTTCCATTTGTAAAGGGGCATAACTCTAGAACAGTAAAAGTGACGCCACCAAAATTCAAACTTGATCTGTGTTTTGTGGTAATAAGCATTGTGTATAAGTTTCCTAACATTTGGTAGAGGAAAACTAAAGTTTAAGAACGGAAACAAAAAATTCAGCAATTT